TAAGAGTCAAATTGCGATCATCTACTTTACCCGCCTGCAGCTGGGATTCCAGAAGTTCGACCTTTGGGGTGCAGATCTCTAGTTCAGAGGCTATACTGGGTGACTGGAGTGGTTCACAATTTATGCTTCCACGGCGTGCGAGTTTGTACACCTGGCGGATCTGCCTCCTCACTGCATCGGTGGTTACATTTTCATCTGTGGAAATACCAATAATGGCGAGTTCATATCTGATTTCATCTTTATGTAATGAGTCTATATACTTGTGGATCGACATTTTGTTAAAATGTACTGACGGTTACAAGAAAGTCTTAAATCGGTTGATATTAAAAATATCTACTTAAAATAGCACAAATATTTTTATTATGTTAAGTTTTAATTCATTTAAGTACAAATAAATCACATTCAAGTTAAACTTTCTTTGTTCTCAAGCTTACTTAAATCTACCTACATCAGAAAAAAAAATGTTAACATTAAATTTCACTAAGTTTTCATATTAAATGGGTTTTTAACAGCTTAAATAGTTACAATTAAGGTTAATTCATCCACTAACATCCAGCAACTTAAGGTTCAACGTTGGGTAGCCACTTTATAACACTTTTTAGGGCGTTACTCACCGGCTACGGTTATCGGAGAGTCAAGGGACTCGAGGATCAAAATAAAAGTATCCCAGGGCGCCTGTTGTTGGATGATTAGTAAATGAAAATTCAAAGATACACATACAGACAAAAAGTAGTTTATTTCCTTCTACGGTTCACATGTATAGCTCCAAATATCAAGTTTTCACTTTAAAATACCCTACGAACTGAGGTTTTGACTAACCTGGTGGATTACACAATATTACACTGTTTATGGTCAATCCCGCGAAGCAGTGAGGCAACAGATATCCTCCAGGTGTACGCCGGTCGCGGTCTCCTGGCCGCCCAGTCCCAATATAGCCACCCGTTGAAGCTGCCTCGCCTCGTTCACATTGTTAAACTTGATAATGGACCATACTCAAAGTACGGACTAAGGACTAAGGACTAAGGACCCCTATGACAAGGCAAAAGAATCTATGAAACACCGTGTACCGTTAATTAGAGCACATGTGCTTTTAAGGAGACAAAAACATTAAGTACTTACAATTTATGGGATGATGTGTTTCAACACATTAAACTGCCCGTAGACATTGTGTTTAAGGGGCCGTACGCCCAAGTAGTCGTCACTTTAAATTCATGTTTCGGCGTTTCGATTCAAAAATTATATATGTGCGTGTCCGATCATTACAACGGCTCGCTCCAAAAAGAACTAGGCCTCCCTTGGGCTACACGCCACCGTCGATCCGTGGTAGAATTTCGAACTAACACGAAAGGTCAATTGCATGCAATTAGCTAGCTCGATTCGTCAATATACGTTTCTAGTTACTTCGGACTAATGACGTTAGATGGCGCTCTGAAGTCTGTTCATCGCATGTAATAACGTAAATATGCTAAAATAATGTATACGAAAATTTTCGTGTTACAATATATTTATATATATATATATATATAAAACTTAAGCGACCAACAAGCTAACAGACCCGATGATAAATGGTTAGTGGCTTCAGCAACCCATGTAACTCAACCTTGAACAAAGAAGGCAACAGATGTGTTGCTGAGGAGGACTAAGATGGCATGACTCTCAGCCCGTAATTAAACTGGTTCTCGATAACTTTCAGAACAGAAGACAAAAGTGCACGCTCTACAACTTGGCCGCAGAGAAAGGTGAGAGGGTGATACCCACGTAGGCTGACTCCTTCGTAGAAAATTAATTGCACGACTTAGTATATACCTATATTTTATATAACTTAAGGGTAACTAACGAGCACACAGTCTACCTGATAGTAAGTGGATGCTGTGGTCTATAGACATCTAGATTTATCCACATTTAAGAATCGAAATGCAGATGTGTTGAGACCTCTGAGAACTAAGATGGAATGTCTCGTTTCCAGTAAAAAGGGTCTCCGGTTTCACTCACTCACCAAACGAACGCAGTATTTAGCTGATATTTTATGCTAGTAATCTGTGAGGGCGTTATCAGCATCCTGTAGGTACAAACATAATGTAGCTGCAGCGTGACTCTATTACGTATAAATATAATAAGCAAGTCTTAAATAAATGTAAAAATCTATTATATATTTATGTAGACTCGTATGAGTTTGGACTGAGGAGTCTGCCTCAGCAGATTTCATTCTTATACCTATCTGTGGCGTCACGCAGCAGAACCCTTTGCCGTCTTCCTGTTTGTACAGTGGGAAAGCCGGTGCGATTAAAACTTTAGAAACATTTCATCGCAGTGCTCAGGGTTGATAAAATATCTATCGCCTTCTTTGTTTGAAGTCAACTGCAGGTTTACATGGAATAGGGAATAGAGTAACATAACTTTTATTCAGGTTAGACTAAATAATTATTGTTGAAAGTAATTTTACTTTGTCCACTGGTTCGGAAAATACTTTGTTCGTAGTTGCGCTGGGTTTCTTGCGGGAAGAACCTGCAAGAAACCCAGCGGGACTTTTTTCCACAGTAACATTATACAATATAAAGTACGTTGCACAATTATTTACAACACTCATATAAGAAACAGTTTTTATAATAAAATATAGCTTCGATCACTCCTGGTATAGCTCTCTATCTGTTTGTGATGTTACATCACAATCGATTCAGCCATTCTGAAGATTATCCCGTATAAATAGACAGACAAACAAAAACTTTTCAAATTTTTTATTTATGTCATAATGACATGCAAATAACTCGCAGACTAACAGACTCTTCAATTTCAAATATATATAAATATATATTATGTATATAGGTAGCCGTTGTAGCTCAGATGGTTAGCGATCGCTGTAAATTTCACAGTACGCGGAAAACCCAGGTTCAATCCCCGCCGGCACCAATGAAATTGTTAATTGCAATTTTAAGTGCTGATTTACCACGTGATCGGCGGTGAAGGAAAACATCGTGAGTAAATCTACGTGTCTGAGAAATAAAAAAATATATTTCGCAGACATGTGAAGTTTGCCAACACGCATTGGGGCGGTGCGGCGGATATTTCCTTTCCCTAAAACTCCCTCCGAAATGAGGGGTGGCCTGTGCCCAGCAATGGGACCTGTATAGGCTGTAACTTATATATATATATACATATAGGTTTAAAAAACCGTGAGTGTCGTGGAACACTTGTTTGGAAACGAAGATCCTTGCGTAGTATATAATACCTACGTTTATTGATAAACGTAGGTATTATATTATTGATTAACAAATACAAATAAATGAATTACTAGTGTCTATTAAAATGAAGCGTCATTTGAAATAAAATAATATTTCTTTCATGGCAAGATAATAAAAAGTGCGAGGGAGATGGATATTATTCCATCTCACTTCCTTATTTCGCCGCCAAGACCGTCTACACTAGGACACAAGGGGTAGTGACGAAAAAATCTTACACTTTTTGTCGCCTAGCTCCCATCCGCCAAACCCGTACCGTCCGATAAAGAACTTCGTTCCAATAATTACCTACACCTACCGGTCACTATTACATCCTTTGAAGTCTATTTCTAAAAAAACTCTATTTGTATTTTTGGTGGTATTTTTTATTGTTTTCCTTCCTTCCTTTCCTTCTAATAAGCTCTTCTCACTAAACTAAATCTTCGAGCCCCTCCTCCCCTCACCCTTCCAGTGCTCATGCTAACTACGTTTCAGGTCTACTTTATGGCAACGGTTTTAATTATATTTGTGATTAAAAAATATTTATACAATGTGATATACAATTAATATTAATATTTTTAATACATTCCAATGTTAAATTAACACAAGTCGCAAAAAATTTTGTATAGAAATTTATACTAAAACTTTTCATGTACGTTTTTTCTTATTTTTTTTTTAATTTAAATAAAATTTAAACAGTCAAAGGTAATAGTAGAAACAGAAACTTTTGTGCAATTTACAAAAATTAACTAATGAACGTAAACGAAAACAGCCGGAAATGATTGCCTCAGTCGAAATCAAAAACGGTTCGAACTCTCTTATCACGTAACTTGTCGTTAAGGCGACGCATCGAAAACCGTTGAAGCGGGCTATCGCCGGACTAACCAGAGTAAAACATAATTTCTATAAAAACTTCAAAAACGCCGTCATAAGGTCTAAAATTGCGTAGCGCCCGCGACTATTAAAACCGCTTAGAAATCGCTTAGAATCTTAAAATATTTTTAAAAAATTATTGATTTTAGCAATCAAAATAATGAGCAAGTAAATTACGAATATTGATGTTATGAATGTATTTGAGTGGTTCCCAAGCATATAGATATTTAATTTTCTATATGCGAAATGCGTATGTGCGAGATTAACGATTTTTAAGTAATTTCGTTGTAATTTCAACTATAGTGATTTTTTAGAGGCGTTTTCGCAAACAATTATTATCGAGTCAAAATTTTAAAATCGTGTTTTTGAGCAAGCAAACTCAAGATAAAGACATGAATTTACCTATATCAAAATTCCAGTTTCGTTAGTCGTGTCATACTCCTATACTATTCGATGAAAAGAGGTGCATTTTTTCGCGGTGTCGCCTTGTACGTTTCGTACTGAAAACTCAGAGTCATGGGTTCGAAACCGCCATTCGACTATTGTGGTGAACCACACTTAACACAAGCATTTTAATGCTACTAAGAATGGTTAATGGGAATATTAGAAATGTTAATGGCGTTACTAGTTTACTTTTTTTTAATTGTCATTAAATAAGATAAAATTCCTAATCGGGTCTTACTCATGCGTCTATTAACTAAACCGCAGAGTATCTTGCGACACATAATCAATCAAGGAAAACCGTTGCGAATCAGATGCTCCACGTCTAGGGATTCACCGAGGCTCGATAGCGTAACTGCGAGTAGCGCGAGATACAAACGAATATAACTGGAAGGGCGAGCGATCGCAGCGCATTCGTGACCCGGCTGCATTTACTTCTAATATTGATTTAATATATTTATTTGAAACAAAATGAAACTCGAGAAGTGCATAACCGTAGACAACATCAACCAGAACCTGTTGAACGTGAAGTACGCGGTACGGGGACCCATATTGGAGCGTGCTCTGCAGATCGAGAGGGAACTAGTAAAGGTAAGGCTTGTTTTTTTATTAACTTAGCAATCGTAAGATTATTTGTTTACTTTAAATCAAAATAATATGTGCAAAAGATTTAACTTCAATATACTATATAATTCAGGTTCTCAATATACTGGCTAGAAATATGTAGTAATTTTTCTACACTTTTGTTTTCAATTATAATCTGCCCGCGGCAACACGCTTATGACAACAGAAACGTCATTTTAATGTTTCGTGGTAACTTACGATTTCCCGCGGTAAAAATATCGCATGTCCTAATCTAAGTCTATCGGTGTACCGACTTTCATACAAATCCATTAATCGTTTATGCATCATTTACAAACAAACATCCAAACATCTCCACAAACTGTTTTTCGAGTTATCCATTACAGCCTATAAAATTCCATTCTTGAACACAGGCCTCCCCCATAGATTGCCTCATAGGGGGGATTTCGCTATAGTTTTCAGAAATATGCTGCTTCCCATCTCCTGTTACAGTTTCCCTCTCTCGCTTCTTCGACGATACCCTCGGAACGATTGTATCGTTGTAAGTATCGTAAACGAGAGAGGGAAGCTGAAACTGGAGCGTGGGAACTATAGTAAATTCCCCGTATATGGCAATCTATCAGAGAGGCCTTAATTCAGCGGTGGACTTTCATAGGCTATTATGAATGGGTGGACAACATTAATTTGTAGGTCGGTGCTAAGACTTAGTTTTTTTTTAGTTGTATTATTAGTGTATAATGAAATACCGATCATCAAAATGTTTAATTATTGTATTTTTCATAGAAATCGGTCTTACTTTTTACAAAAAGTTTATTTTCTTGCCCTTTTGAGTCGACTAAGAAATATCTAGAAAACAAATTATATCGTCTAAATACTTTATCCCCTATTTTACCACTGTTTCCCCTGATTGACAATACATGATTTTCGGAAATCATAAAAATTGGAAGCAGTCAAATTGTAACCCTCCTACTTTTATTGAATTTCTCAAAAAAGTAACCTCGATATTTGCACATAGATTTTTCTCTTATATCGTTTCACATATATGAGGAAGTGGAAATAAAGATATGACGCCAAAAATGCAAGTTTCAGGAGTTTTGGTGAGTTGGAAAGTTTTAGTAAGGAAAGTTAATAAAAAATATGCCATTGTATAACATATCAAAGCTTTTCGAAGCACCGTTTCAATGTGTATTATTTTGGTACATTTTATATTGTTATCTCCCACCAAATCTCCAAAAGTATCACTGAGAAAATTCATGAAATTTATTCATTGGGCCTATCAAAGGTTCACGGCTGACGATAGGCCTTCTCCTTAGATTGCCTCATAGAAAGGATTTACCATAGTTGTCACGCTTGGTACCTTATGGTACCCTCGGGATGATATAGGATAGTGGATCTCCCACCACGCACGGGAAAAATGTGTACACACATACATGAATATAGGGATAGATTAAATAAAAAACGTTTTTGGGGTTCCGTATCAGTTTGTTGTCCGTCTGTCTGTCTGTCAAGACCCTTTTTCTCAGGAACGCGTGGAGGTATAAAGCTGAAATTCATAAATATCAAATACTCAAGTCTACTGTCCCTTAGAGCTGTGAAAAAATAAAACTTCTAAGCCAACGCAATCAAAAGATACAGCCGTTTATGCCGTAAATTTTCGACATTCGCAAGGGAATCAAAACCTCAGGGTACTTCCCGTGAACTCAGAATCTTGAAATTTGGTACGAAGCAACGTTTTATAGCATAGATAAAGGAAAAATTGCGAAAAGCATACATTTTTAGTTACATCATATAATAAAAATATTTTTAATAATTTTAAACTTATATACCTAAAGATTTGTTCGGAACCCTCAGTGCGCGAGTCCGACTCGCACTTTGCCGGTTTTTTAATATCACAGTAGGTAACGACCGAGTACAACTTGTATGTGAAATATAGGATCACCTAGTAAGGTATGAAGGAAATTAATGGACATAGGTGAGTTTTTATAGAATAACGGTAAGTGGATGTTGTGGCCCATAGACATCCACGTTTATCGCCGATTTAGAATCAAAATACACATGCGTTATCACACCTGAGGACTAAGATGGAATGCCACGTTTCCAGTAAAATGGGCTTACGGTTCTCCGCAATCACCATACAAAACAGAGCAGCACCGAGCAGTTATTTTACGCTCGTATTCACTACATTCGCTGGTAAGAGCCGGGTTTTATTTTATTTCTTGAGGATGGCCTAACTTTATCTAACAGCCTTTTATTATACTGGTCCCCTAAACATCGGGACACAGCCAGTACAGGTACTTCTGCTTGACGGCAGAAATATGTAAGAATTAAGAAAATGATATTAAATAGTCTCTTCAAACTGGGTAAAGCACGTCATTTTATTTTATTATACGGGTATTAGCTAATTCATTTATAATATCTTTAGTATAATGGATTTCTGCAAAGTACCTAACGGTTGATTCTATCAAGTATGTCAGTCTGACTCCTAGGCAAAAACGAAACCTTCCAATGAAAAAAAAAATTGTCTTAAAGTGTGTTGAATTATCATTATCAACAATATTACATCGTTTCATAAGTCCAACACTTATATATCAGAACATCTACTACCCGGTATCGTTCCTTTGGTGCCGTAAGAGACGACAGAGGTAAACTGAAACATGAGATGGACAGCAGTATCTTTCTGATAACACCTCAAAAGTAATATCTGTACCAGAAAATATACAAGGTCTTTCTATCACCAAATTGAAATATTTTATTAAACGAAAACTCTATAAAAAGGGTTACACATAATATAAATGAATACATGGTTGATAATTATATTAATAGTAATAATCCCCTGGCAGCCGTTTCTTAAATAAGTTTTGAAAGTAGTTTGTACAACCTTTATTATTGTATAATTTACTTTGAAATAAAAAGTCCCGCAGGGTTACTTATTCTTACCAGGACAGCGGTTTTATCGAACCAGTGGTTCGAAAAGTTAAAAATTACTTTCAATAAGAATTACTTGTAATCTACATTGAATTAAAATAATTCTATTCTATTTTATTTAAAAAAAACTGCGGTTGCCCAGCTATGAGAAAATTTCTGGGGAAAGCTTGTCAGCAGTGGGCTTTTATAGATTGTAATGTATGAATGGATGGATGACAAGTCCACTGTTAAACATGCTCGTACTTCTCTCCCAGTGGATGCCACAAATTGATATTTTCATGTCAATATCGAAAACGTGAGATCGTTTGAATTTTACTTCGCAGTTCACTGAAACATGTTTCCCTTACTTGAAATAATATATTTAAGTAGGTACTTTCTATATGTTAAGCTCGCTTAATAACGTAAAAAGAAATAACAGACATATTGCAATACTTTCTCTAGTGAGCACGTCGTTTTGGTCCGCAGAGAGCAATATTGTCATATTTCGCGATCTCGCACTGCGCAATGCGAACATCTCGACACAATAAATATATATATTGCTTTGTTTTCGATTCTGCTCCGGAAGTCCTAACGCATCACACGCAATAAGCTTCACATAATTACGCATCTTTAGTAAAGGTCTATTTTAATGACATTACATTGATAAAATTGGTTGCACTGGAGTCAAGGACATTGGCAGCGGACCTCAACCGATATTCAATAAGCTAAGAAACACTCGTAGTGTATTGAAGAATTAAAGCCTAATTTCAAGAGCTACGAGTATTAAATTGTGTGGAAATTATTCATTTTTATGTTTTACTTTATTGAAGTCGGTTTTTCTTTTTTAAAAGTTTAATTGTTTGAATACAATATATGGAAGAGTCATGCTGCTATATTATGGTTGCCGCATGTATGCCAACTAGTTGTGTAGAGTATTTGCATACTTACCACGTTTGGCAAGTGGGTTGGCAACCGCAGTTTTTAATAATTTTGAGTTGTCATCAGAAAGATTCCGCTGCTCATATTCCATTTCACGCTGTCATCAAATGAAGTAAACGTTTTTAATTAAGTCAACGTCAACAACCAACACTATTCATTTCAATAAAACTAATTTTATGGATTTTATCGCGTATATTAACTTATTTTATATTCCCGACGTTTGGAGCACTTTCCAGAACCCATGGTCACTGGGAACCCCCTCAGTGATCATGGGTGCTGGAAATTGTTTTAGTGAGTAATTAGTTGTATTTAAATGTGTAGTGTTCTCGTAAATATAAGAAATCATTAACCAACACTATTCATCACGATTATAATTCCGCGATTCATTCTAAATACGCAAGAAATTATCAAGCCGCAAAGTTAAAATTTTGAAGAAAATGTCCAGATCTTTTTCATATGTCTAGAATTTTATTTAGGTGACAAACGAGCATGCGGCTAACCTGATGGTAATTGACTACCGCTACCTACCAACAACTGCAATACCAGGAGAATTGCAGATGCATTGCTGGACTTTTAAAGAGTCAGCTCGTTTCTTGAAAGGCCCTAAGTTGTCTAGGTTCGAAAAAATCGCTGATGATAGTCGTTTAGACACAGAATTTATGCGATTGTTTGATCTGGTTATCAAGATAATACACCCTTTTAAAGGCCTATGTGGAAAAATTTGTCTTCAGAAATTGATGCTAAGACATAGTTTTTATACGTTACCGGCATTGCATATAATTTAGTCATTCCATGTAATGCCAGGCTTGCTTAGGCAATGTATAATGGGTGTCCCTCCAGGCTCAATTCTCGGCCCATTCCTATTTCTAGAGTACAATAATAATTTACTTTATTATTTGCTAATGATACTTCCTTGATTTTTAAACTTAAACATCAATCAATTAAATATGACGAAGTGGATAATGCTATATCAAAATTAGTGCATTGGTTTAACGTTAATAATCTACATTTGAAGGGAAATAAAACTAAATTTATTAAATACAACACCGAATATTAAAAATCTGAATACTATCGTGTTTTCAAATAGGGAAGAACTGAACCCTGTTGAAACCGCTATTTTTCTTGGTATTACTCTCGACGCAAATCTTCAATGGGGTCTCCTATATGGGAATATACCCAAACTAGCAAGCAGGCTAAGTTTTACAGCTTATGCTGTAAAAAGGATTAGAGTTCTCACTAGTGTCGAGACAGCTAGATTACCTTATTTCAGTTATATTCATAGCATTATGTCTTATGGGATTTTGCTATGGGAAAATGCGGCTAATTTAGAAACTATTTTTGTTATGCAGAAAAGGGCCATTATAGCTATTTACAACCTAAAACCGAGTGTCTCTTAGAAAATATAAAAAAAAAATATGTTAACTTTGGCCTCTCGTATATTTACGATAATTTTGTTCGTTTTGTTTGTTGTTCACAAAATATAGGTAGTTTTAGTAAAAAAAGTGATATACAGTCTGTAAACACTAGGAACAAACACAAGTTAGTGATACCAGTTTCTCGACTGCACAGATTCAGTAATTCATTCTTGGGGAAATGTACACGCTATTACAACAAAGTCCCAGAAAATATACAAGGTCTCTCTATTACCAAGTTTAAATATTTTCTTTAACAAAAACTGTATAAAAAGGGTTATTAATTATTATAATATAAATGGATACATGGTTGATAATGACCTCCCCCGCAGCCAAAGGTATCCATGAGGATTTCCCCACGAAAAAAAAAGGTTACGTTACGTTAGGTTGGGTTTAGTCATTTCTTGACTGTGGACTTCATTCTCATAAATAAGTATCTTAAGACAAACCGTGATCTGCACTCTTTCTATTCCGTTATCTCTTATTCAATATATAGCCGGCTGTACATTTGGTGTTGTATAGAACGACTGGGAAAAAGATGAATAATATAATATACTTTATACATTGCCTGAATGTTTTAGGTATTCTTTAGAATACCTCAGTATTCTATACAATACCGGATTATACAGGTTGGCGATAACACAAAGAAGCCACGACTTCTGAATATAATTATCTTATTCTTTATGGATCTTTGAAGTCAGCTATTACTTTTTAATAAAATTCTATTTTAATTTTTTCCCCTTTTGATTGGAATACGAGTATATCAAATGCTCGATGTTGTCTTTATAGGTACATTAAAAACTTTATCCTCTATTATTTCATCCCAGGGGATGAATTTTTTTCTTTAAACATGTAACCACTCTTGAAGTATAATCTATTCAATGAGGAAATAATTATTCAAATCGGTCTACAGTTGACGAAAATAACAAGTAACATACGTACAAAAAAAAAAAGAAAAACATATACTCGAAGGAGGATAAGAAAGAGCAGATAATACTTAACTAATAACGTGCGTGCAATATTGCTCGCTTTGTATCAATTATCACAACTAATGTAAAAGGGGATTTCCTTATCTTCGCAATTCATGAATCAGATATTTACAAGTTATCTTGGCTATGGCGGCTGCATTTATCGGTGGCCCTGAAGTAGGAGCTTGAATCTCTTGATTTCTACGATCCACTAGCACGAATTCTCAAGTTCTGTCAAAGAAGATCAGACAAACGTCCACTGAACTATGGTAGCTGGTTAGGGTTCATTATTAAACTTTTTAATAGTACTATGCGTTAAATATAATTAAATAGTATTAATAGTCAATCAATAAGTGAGTAATTTATAAGTGAAAAGTCAAATACAATTAGAAACATTTATTAACAGATTTTAAAGTATGTATGTGTGCGATTTTTATTTAAATTACACGACGTATTTTTATTTCTTCTACTTGATTCTTCCACTGGGATAATCTGTATACTCGTACTTGTGGAAAGGTTGTAGTAGGTATAAAAAATGTTAAGGTTATCTGCTTTTTATTTTTTTATTGAATGATTTTTATAGGTAATAAGTAGGTCAATGAATATAAACGCTAATCCTCTACATTGAATAAATCTATTGTAACGGATTTCATCGCGTTTAATTTAATTTTTTTTTTCCCGAATCTTTGAACGCTTTACTGCAGCCATCATATTAATGCAACAGCCTAAAGTTCCCCTGTGTATGACTCTTACACTGGGGTAATTTGTATACTTATTCTGTATATAATATATTAGAGTTATCATTTATTTTTATGTCGGTTCATTTGAATGATTTGTTAAAAAATGCTACCTTTAAACAGTCTTTCAATTTTTAAATTGTATCTTGAAGTCTTGCAGTAGTATAATTGGGTTTGAACGTCTCACAGTCTTCTGGGTAATGCTAAACAAGCTGCACCACGTCTCGTGGTAGATTTTATGTCATCATCCACAAATCCATATCCATGTCCATGGGGCTGTTGTGTTCTTATAGTTGCAACTTAACAGCCGTGTGATGACGACATAACAGACTTCATCACTCCATTTTTTCCCGTGGACATCGTAAGGAGCGGCTATGGGAAATACCCTTAAAAATCCTTTGGTTTCCGCTAGATGGCGGTAAAACCATTTCGTTTAGACTAGACATAAATTAACCATATTGGCGACGGGCAGCGTCAAAAATGCAGACGCCTGGTACAGCAATGTCAAACCACACGCTTAGTGTTACGATTGAGGTAAATCTAAATAATTTGCAGCTCATTGGTGCTCTGCTTCGTATATTGAGTGCAGAAAACCGGTGACCCTTTTTACTGGTAACGAGGCATTCCATCTAAGTCTTCAGGGGTAACAACACATCTGCTCTTTGATTCTTAATCGACGATATATGTATGTGTCCATGGTTCTCTTGTCATCCTTATTTTATAAAACATCCTACCGACTACTGAAGAAGCTCATGTACAGCATTGGAGTTTTACGCACCTATAAAGAAAGAACTATAAAATAGTGAGAGATTATCGTTCGCGTCAAACGCTCCACAAAGGGACTTCACTGAGACGACAGGGTAAAGCCTCGGCACAGCCTCGGGTTTACTTATGTGCCCGGGGAGACAGATCGGCGCGGCGTATTGTTTAGCGTGCAAAACAAATACAGTTTTTTGAGTAAAGACCTCTTTTTAATTAACTGTAGAGGCAAACTAACTTATCCAACTGACGGTAAGAAGCTAATGCAGCTTATGAACACAACCAACCAATGATTTCTTATATTTACGAGAACATTACACATTTAAATAAAACTAGTTTTACGGATTTTATCGCGTTTATTAACTTATTTTATATTCCCGACGTTTCGAGTCGATGTGTATCCTTTGTCGTGTGTTCACATAGTTGATGTGAAGAATCGACGCTCCGGTAAGACTGCAGTCTGTGAACACGTACAGGATCGCCTCCGTCATTAGATTACATTTGATAGACCACAAATCCTCGCTAAAGAACACCGATTCCTTCCAAGAATGATTCGTGAAGCTATTGAAATCAAAAAACATCCTAATTTCAATAGAGAAGATGGCTGAGTGCTTTAATTAATAAAATTAAATCCCAACCCAAACATACGACTGCAAGACTTCAAGATAGTGTAAGCTGCGTAGATCGGAATAATTTTTTTTAAATTTAATTTTTTAATCTGGAGGTAGACGTGGGTAAATATGACATTGGGACTTCAAACACCTCAGTCCCCCTCCCCCTCGTGACCATGGGTGCTGTAAAGTACTCGAAACGTCGGGAATATAAAATAAGTTAATATACGCGATAAAATCCATAAAACTAGTTTTATTTAAACAACCAATCAACTTCAAGCAAAGAAGTCTATAGATGCGTTGCCACCTCTGAAGACTAAGATGGAATACCTCATAGCCTGTAATTATAATATAGCTCTGTATATGCCTCAGGCCGACACACAGCAGTGCACGCTACTTGGCGACAAACATATGCAATAGGTAAGATTTCTAGGCAGAAAAGTAGTCCTACAACCTAAATGCTTAACGCACCGCTACACCACACGTTTTGTCGAACACTATTAACTGGCTCACTTAAGAGCGTTCTTGGGCTCCTATATCAGTACAAAAATAAAAAGACAATAATTTCCAATTGGAACGATTAACACGAGTACATAATGTTAAAAATAAATAAGAAAATATTATTAATACAAACACGTAGCCGTGCGTAAACACTTGATATCTACTCGTAGTGTCGCGGGTGTACTTCAAAACAAATGACTGACAGACGGAGAAAGATATTAATTATACTGATAAAATGACGTAAGCTTACGTTTATTATTGCGTATGTTATCTATATACCTTGCCAGTGGAGAGAGCGTGATGCGTAAGGAGAAATTATGCTGATATAATATGTGAAATGATGCTATGCTATGTGTTTTCCGAGGCACGTGCCGAGTAGAGACACAGCCAACTTTTTAATTTTGAGCTGATGCAAGATTTATTTGACAGAAAAACCCAACTGACCCGGGATTCGAACTTGGTACCACATTATGTGTAGGCGCGCTTACGAACACTACACAAACGAAGCACATATTACATTTAAATTATATAAGAAAGACTACTTATTTTTGCAGTAGCTGATACAGAACAAAAAAAAAAGAATCATCGTTTCTCATGACAGATTTGAACCCCCTGTCAGCAGTGCTGCAGCCAAACGGCGACCCTTGGCGACTTGATTTTAAAATAAATTTTTGTATATTTTTTTTCTAGGGAGTCCCTAAGCCATTTAAGTACGTGGTTCGCGCAAACATCGGCGACTGCCATGCCTTAGGACAAAAGCCGATCACCTTCATTAGGCAGGTTAGTTCCTATTTCTTAAATTACGTTACGCGTTATTACTCTTTATAGAATAAGGGTTACAAACGAGCACATAGTCCACTTGATGGTGAGTGGGTGCTGCGGCTCCTAGACATCTACATTTTTCCTCGATTAGGAATCAAAATGAAAACGCGTTGTCACCCCTGAAGAATAAGATGGAATGCCTCGTTTCCACTAAAAAGCGTCTCCGGTTCTCTACACTCACCATACGAAACACAGCAGCATTAAGCTGCTATTTTACGCTGATGCTATTATATATTCTGTGAGAGCTTAGCTATTAGTTCTACCCCGGTAGAACCGGCCCATTCATGCTACTGCATGAATGCATAATGGCTCTACCACTAATTACTTTGATATGTAATATTCACAATAAGTACTTTAATAAAGAACTTCGTATAGGTATTGGCGCTGGCCGCATGCCCGCAGCTCATGTCGTCACCCGACGTGCCGGAGGACGTGAAGAAACGAGTGCAGGACATTCTAGACGATTGCACGTAAGTTCCAAGTTCCAATTTGTAAATATTTCTGCAGCATAATGCGTCGACTCGACTGCGCGAGAACCGACATTATGCCTTTTTTATTGTATAGAGTGACAAATGAGCACACAGTCCACCTGATGGTAAGTCGTTGCTGTGACCCATAGACATCTGCATCCATCCTGGTTTGTGAATCAAAATGCAGATGCGTTGTCAGCCGTGAGGACTAAGATGGAATGCCTCGTTTCCAGTAAAAAGTATCTCCGGTTCTCTACACTCACCATACGAAACACAGCAGCGTTAAGCTGCTATTTTACGCTGGTATTCTGTGAGAGCGTGGTGCTACCCCGGTCGAGCCGACCCATTCGTGCTACAACTATACTACTAATTTAGCTGCGGCATGGCTCTACCACGTTAACGCCTTTCCGTTTAGATCGGAACGTTCAAGCTAGCTTACTTGTTCTGAGGTTAAATATTTTGCAACAATTCCGTCAAGCTAAAAAGTGTGATTATAAATCGTGATTGATCTCTTTCATGAGACAGTTGCGTAGAAAATAAACCAATTTGTTAATGTATAGGTAATCGCAAGTTTCTGTACTAAGCCGATTTTTAATATATCACTTAACTTATATATCTAGTGCAGAGTAATGAGAACAGGTGGAATATATATAAAATGCATGCCCAGGTAAATAATAGATCATTTACGAGTACCTGCCGTTCTTCATAAGTTCATGTATTTAGTATTTAAGATTAACTTGTTATTTCTCATGATAAGTGAATTGTATTCTTTTGAGGAATAAATTTCTTAAACCATAAACCATAAAATACTAGAAAACTCTACACAAGTGGCAAATTGGGGGTACTCAAACTTGTAATAATTTGGTGAAGGGAATTTTATTTATTTATAACAGTAGAGTGATAAAACAAATACTAGAATTAAAGTTTTTTGTTACATTAAAAAGTATAGGAGTAGTAGCGGCGAATTAAAAATTAAGAAAACATTCATACACTGGTACTACACACTTCACATAAATATAAAAGACAGTTAAAGGCTACAAGTGACGGGGCGTGTAATTAAGCGACTGAAAAGTTTATGAGTCGGTGTAATCTACAGCGCTGATAATTGTTTGTACATGCAAAATTTTGTATAAAGTTGGTATAGTTTTTGCTTTGTAAATATCCCACCAAAAACCCAATAATGAAAAGAAGGGAAAGAGTCGAAATAGAACTACTATTAAGATCAGCACTGTTCATAACATTTGAACCGAACTTGTCTCCTTTTTCACGTTTATATTTTTGGTAAAACATAATTTATTTTTGAAATAAAATGTTTGACTCTTCCATTGATTTAAATATTTATGTATTTACATGACATTCAACTTTTTTCTTGCATTTTCACTTCAATGTTTTCGTTTTTTTTTTTATTTAGACTATAAGAATTAAATAATAACAAATGTAATAATAATAAAAAAATGTACAAGCCCATTCAATTTTGGGATCTGCAGACAGTCTGACGTACAAAAGTGTAAATTTGTGTTTTTTTTTCTTATTATAAGCGAATACTTGACTACAGTACCACCTGGTTGTAAACATTGATAAAACTATATAAATATGGTTAAAGCTCTTGCTTTGAAGATACCCGGTAAATTATTACACTCCCTTGCAGTACGCATTTATAAAAAATGAAGCAAACCATTTGGTTCGAATACGTGGTTCCTATCCTAACGAATTTCCATGCAATAATCACCTACCACCTAAAATCCTTCTACAAAGCGTGGTGGTTAAGGAAAAAGAAAATTGCTTCTTAGCTTATCACATATCTATTTAAAGGCTGAAGTTAGCGATCACGCGAGTGGATATTTATATTCCTATTTGCATATGTAAAGCAATGTCATAGGTTAATGAATGTTCAAGTGCGACCCCCCGTGACGTGACGCTAATCAACGTTTAATTAACATCCTCCCTGCGACAGACAAACTCAATCCAATTACCGCTGTGTTGTTATGCTAATTCTCGACAGTCACCCGACGCGAGTTTTGATTCCCGCGCTGCTGATGATTTATGCGCATTGATTTGATTTTATGATCTGTCAAGCTTTTCAAAGGTTTTGGAGTAATTTATATTACATATATTTACTACTAGCCCGACCCGGCTTCGCCTAAATATTGCTAATAATGTGGCATTATATAAAATAAATTTAATCAAAGACCATTTTTAAAAAAAAAAACAAGTTTTCTTAATAAAATAGAGATTCCTGGAATTGCTCTATTTGTTTGTAAAGTTTCATCACAATTGGTTCAGCCATTTCGAAGATTAAAAAGACAGGCAGATTTTTTTTAAAGTGGTTAGCTAAATCAATTAACACTGACCTTAATGGAAGCCAATTATTTCAATATTACAGACAGACACTTCAATTTTATTTATATAAGAACTTCACGAACAGAAAAACTGTAGACTAGTTAGTTTACAATTCATCCAAAACTTAAGAGATATTTTTGAAAAAATACAATTTTTACTAAATAAATGGTTTATGATTACCTTGAATCAAAAAAGCCGTATTAGGAGATCCTATCCTATCCAGGCAAAGCCAAGGTGAATCACTAGTAATCAAGTGCAAGTTCGAGTCTGAGCCTGTTAACGAAAATTCTATGTTGCAAATGTAATGTGCGTGAGCCCTGAAGGACCATGCTAGGAACTCTGATCTACAAACAGAGATAGACGGAGCGGTGCGTAAATTTCAAGTGAAGCCGAAATGACACGTTTATTTACGTGGTAACGCCATGCTGCAGCTATATTATGATTGTAGCATGAAGGAGTCGGCTTGACCGGGGAACCACGCCCTCATAGAATACAAGTGTGGAATAGCAGCATAATGCTTAGTCGCTGCTCCCAGTCGCCAGTCTGAGTATTTCATGTTTGCCGTAAACGAAATAGTTATAGCGCCATCAATGGGAAAGTATAAGTAGTAGCATCACAGACTTATATAGTACAGGAACGCAGTATAGAGTTAGTAAGCTAGTTTAATGTATATATTATAAAATGCTTATAACTATTACATTTAATGTTAACTTTGCTTATGTACTTAGTTGATGAAAAGTAATATAATGTATAATTAATTATGAACAGGGATTTCTGGCGAGTCGACTTATGTGGCTCCGACAGAATTACAACAGAGCAGTAACTCTGTTACTGTGCCATTGTGCTGAGTTGGCGGCCTTTTTGTTGCTGCAATCTATATTGTTTAAATACTTTGTTGATTGTTTTCTTTTTCTTTTTGTAAAAGCAGGTTGCAGCAATTAACAAATACTGACTAAAATTATGTTTACAAATTTTATCACGTTCAATTTACTTATTTTATTCCCGACTTTTCGGATGTTTTACAGTAACCCATGTTTCTTTTTTTTATAGGATAGGGTGACAAACGAGCACACAGTCCACCTGATGGTAAGTGGCTGCTGTGGCCCATTGACATCTACATCTAATATCCTCGTTTGCGAATCAAAATGCAGATGCGTATCACCCGTGAGGACTAAGATGGAATGCCTCTTTTCCAGTAAAAGGGTCTCCGGTTCTCTACACTACCATACGAAACACAGCAGTGTTAAGCTGCTATTTTACGCTGGTATTCTGTGAGAGCGTGGTCCTTCTCCGGTCGAGCCGACCCATTCGTAATACAACTATACTACTAATATAGCTGCAGCATGGCTCTACCACGTTTAAAAAGGGGGTCAAGAGGGGGACTGAGATGTTTGAAGTCCCGATGTCATAGTTAGCTAGGCTATCTTCAGATTTTTCGTTCGATCTACGAAGAATGAGTATACAGTATCTTGAAGTCTTTCAGTGGTATGCTTGGGTTTGAATTTGATTTTGTTAATTATAGGATCCCAAGCAGATGGCAGTACCCATCTATCTTCTCTATTGAAATTGGGATATTTTTTAAATTTAAATAGTCGTATCATCCTTGGTAGGAATCGGTGTTCTTTTTTTAGGATTTGTGGTCTATCAAATCTGATGTAATGGCGAGGACGATCTTGAACATGTTCATAGACTGCAGACTCCCCAGAGCATCGTTACCACACATCAGCTATATATTCTTTGCCGCGGGTTTTAATAGATCTTTTTGTTTGTCCTATGTAAGAGAGACCACATTCGCAATCAAGCTTGTACCTGCATCTTGTAGAGGGATATTACACTTGAAGGTGGTTCTAATGGGATCTCACTTCAAGATGTAGCCAACCTTATTTGTGACTCCTCTGACACATGGTAGTACAGCAGGCACACGCTCGACCATGGCCAGCTTCACTCGGTCACTGTGATGGAGGCGCAGGACCCGCAGCTTGTTGTCGTCCAATACTTGCTCGCCGTGCTGAAGCTCGGCGCCGAGATGTTTTCTGTTACAGATCCCACGTGCTCGCCCAGGGGGCCATGGGTTGCTGTAAAGCACCCGAAACGTCGGAGATTAAAATAAGTTACTTAAACGCGATAAAATCTGTAAACAAAGTTTTATTCAATGTGTAGTGTTCGCGTAAATGTAAGAAATTATTAAATGAACAAATAGGTTCTATCTTTCTTTCCCCTTAGCATAATTTTAATTTAAATATAATCCGTGCTACTCACAACTCTACAAGTACCATAGAATCGTTTTGTTATTCCAGCAAAAGCTCAGTAGGTTCATACTCTCCATCTGCCGGCCTGACGCTGGTACGGAAGCATGCGGCGGCGTACTTATCAGCGCGGGATGGAGTACCAGCGTCGTATGAAGACATCTACCTTGGCTCTGGAGCCTCAGACCTCATCAAAGCTGTCCTTACCATGTTCGTTAAGGACGCGGATGGAAAACCGCCAGGTAAAGACTCGTTGGGATTAGTAACAGAATATTAATAGATAAGATTTTTCTCACTGACGGATGAGATGCACTGCTGTAGATAATTTGGTAGCGCAGTGGTAGAATATTAGGCAGCAACCCCGCGGGATGCGGTTTGTGATTCCCATGGAATAAATATTTGAGTATGATCTACTATTCATAAGTCGTAATGAATATATCCAACGTAGAACCAGTGTAACTGACATAGTCCAACAGATTAAAGGGCTGAAGTGGCAATTCCCAACCATATAGCATGTAGAACCGACAACCGATGGAGAAGAAAGGTACCTTTAAGTGAAATCTAGAGCAGTCCTCCACTGGATGGTATGACCACGACCTGGTAAGAGATGCAGGAAGTCAATGCATGCGGTCGGCTCAGGTCTGTGCTTTTTGGTATTGATTTGGGTAGGGCCTATGTTCAGCAGTAGAATTGTGATGGAGTGCAACGATGATGATGATAATGATGTAGTATCGTTATCATTGCACATACAAAAACATTGTTCTTAGTTTTCTGTAAATTTGTGTGTAAAATCCGTAATAAAAAACAAAATGTTAAAATTTAAAGATAATCAATCTAATAATAAATATGAATCTTCCCAGCGGTGATGATACCGATACCGCAATACCCACTTTTCTCTGGAACCTTGTCCGAGCTGGGACTACGCCAGGCTAACTACTACCTGGACGAGGAACATAACTGGGCGCTGCAAGTCTCCGAGCTGGAGCGCAGCTGGCAGCAGGCGAGCGTGGACAGCCACGTGAGGGCGCTCGTTATCATCAATCCGGGCAATCCTACAGGACAGGTGGGTGATCTCCCGTTCTAAGAAGGATTTGGCTTCATCACTACGCCTGGCAAGCAAATTGACGATCGCAAGACCAGACGTGTCGCCTCTTTGACGGCGCTGACCATAGCCAGTCTAGGTATTTTACTGATGAAAATAAGATTTAACGAGTTATACCGCCATTAGTCGGAAGCCGTAATATTTATCTGGCATGGGGAATCCATCTCATTTATCTCTAGTATCTTTTTTTTTCAATACCCACGTAAATCAGTGCATCTGGGTATGGCAGTAAGTGTTAGGTCTTTAGAACTTTTGCAATGATCATTTTGTTTCATATTTGTACTGCAAAAAACTACCAACCGACTTGAAACAGCATCAACCTTCTGACTTACACTCGTCGCATCTCTCTCTGAAATAAATTACCTGTTGGCCTGCGAATAACACCCTACAAAAGTATATAAAACAAAATTATACGAACATATCTGTAGCCCTTTTTACCCTGTTTACTCGTATTACAGCACTTAAGAATGTTTAATTAATTATCGTAATATATTATGTACATTTTACGTATGTGCTGCATGATCATACATAAATTGTTTTTATTTTAAATAAGTTTTACATGAATGGTTGTACAAACTATGTACAAAATTTATTTTAGGAACAGTTTATATTATAACTAGCTGTTCCCCGCGACTTCGCCCGCGGATTAGGGTTTTTATGTTATTGCGCGGAACCCTAATTATTTTTCTAAAATAAAAGTATCCTAAGTTACCCCTTATGAAATCAGCTATCTACCAGTGAAAGTCCTGTTAAAATCGCTTCAGCCGTTTCGGAGATTAGCCGGAACAAACAGACAGACTGACAAAAATTTTAAAAATTGTATTTTAGTTATAAGTACCGTATTTACTTTCATATGCATTTAGAAAAAACTGTAATTTTGACATTACAAACAGACACTTCAATTTTATTTATTTGTATAGATAACCATTTTTAGACAGTTTTTTTTAATATTTAAACTTGGTAATAGAGATACCTTGTATATTTTCTGAAACTTTGCTGTAAGAGCGTATACATTTCCCCAAGAATTAATTACTGAATCTGTGGAGTCGAGAAACTGATGTCACTAACCTATGTTTTTCCTAGTGTTTACAGAGTGTATATCATTTTTTTTACTAAAACTACCTTTGTTTTTGTAAACATACATTATTCATGATTAGTTTTATTAGTTGAATTAAATATTGTAACGAAATTCTTAGTCGAAATATTTTAAAAAGAAAAATTAAATAGCAATTACTTCATTGCAGGTGCTGACTCGAGAGAACATAGAGGAGATCATTAAGTTCGCGTACGATCACGACCTGTTCCTTATGGCAGATGAGGTTTACCAGGAGAACATAATAAGCAAGCCGTTCCATTCGTTTAAGAAAGTAAGTCATTTTTTTAATTCCAATTGATATTTGCCCGATAAACGTGTGTTCCGTTTCACCGTTGTGAGACGACGCTAACGCATGTTAATAAACTGAACACTAAAAGCCTATGGAAGTTGTTTGATAAATTAAAGTTAGGTATAAGTTTTTTTAAAAAGTTTCTTATTTAATTTTACAAGTTTAATTACCTTGACACAATCAGGTTAACAAAGTGACTACCTACCTAGTCAAACAGAAGGGCTAAGTGGACATACTCGTAGGTGTTATCTGACAAAATTAAATAATCCGACTTTTTGCATGAACTTTTAATTTAACTGATAGTAAATTAATTCATGAGCTTAAAATATGCCAATTTTAATTCGTTACATAGTTACAAAGGCTAACAAAGGTGTTAACTGACAATTAAGAATATATTTCAGATTTGCAAATGTATTATCAGCAGAAATATTTACAGAGAACCATTATCATTGCTACATTTTGAATAATATAAGGTAATCATCAATCGATAAATCTTCTGCATCTTCGCAAAGATAACATGATTTCATAATAAAAAAATGAACAAAGGTGTTATAAACTATAGTTTACGTTTGCTAATGTAAAATAGAATAATTTTTTATCAAATCCTCCTTTACAACAGAAACAGAAACAGAAACTTTTTTATTCTATATAGATTATAAATAATACTTATTGAAAATCACTCTTTTGTTTGATTACCACTGGTTCGGAAACAACCTCTGTCCTGGGAAGAACCAGCAAGAAACCCAGCGGGACTTTTTTTTTTTAAATAACAGCTTACAATCATGATGTTACACAAATTAACAACACAACAAATTAGAAATAGCTTGGTAGCGATCACCTCATTTCCAGGGGTTATTATCATCCATAAATTCCTTAATATTATAATAACCCTTTTTATACAAACTTAATTTAATAAAGTTTTTGAACTTTGAGCAGGTCAAACTTTGTATATTTTCTGGAATTTTGTTGTAAAAGCGTATATCGCCCCAAGAATGAATTACTGACTCGATGGAGTCGAGTAACTGGTACTACTAGCTTGTGTCTGTTCCTAGTATTTACAGAATGAATATCACTTATTTTTGTAAAACTACTTTTATTTTTGTGTACGTACATTACATTTTCATAAATGTATTGAGAGGCCAAAGTTAATATATTAATTTCCTTAAATTTTAGTCGCAGTGACTCTTTAGGCTTTAAATCATAAATTGCTCTTATGGCCCTCTTCTGTAAAACAAATATAATTTCAGTGTCAGCAGCGTGTCCCCATAGCAAAATACCATACGACATTATGCTATAGAAATAGCTGAAGTAATCTTTTTTACAGCATATGCCGCAGAACTAAGTCTGCTTGCTAGTTTTGATATAATATGGGGGCTCCATTGAAGCTTCGCATCTAGTGTGATTCCAAGAAAAAACGGTTCCAACGGTTGTTTTGTCTTTCATCACAAGTGTTATAATGAGTTTTGAATCGAAGTATTGGTTTTGTATTTTAAATTATAGCATTTTAAACACGTTAACATATTTCCGAACGGTTTTTAATAAACTTCCATAGGATAACCTATTTTTTAATATAATATATTAATGAATCTTATGTAAGTATTTGTACTAATATTGTATTATAAAACTATAAGATTTAATTACCAAATGTATTTGATTATTTATTATTATCAAACGCTCATTACTCGTTTAGAACTATTTGCTAGTTAACACCTTTGCCCACTTAACCCTTCGATCATTATAATAAGACACGTATTCTAGTTAAAGGTCTTATTTAGATCCGGCAAACACAAGCATCTTATCTATAAACATAGAAGGAACTTAAAACACACAAGTGTAACAATTATTTATGCTCCTGATACATATGTAACAGTCCTTGTGCACTACACGGTAAAATTACCGTATGTATCTTACTTAATATCTTCGACATTTGTAAACCGATTTTGATAATTGTTTTTTTATTAAATCGGCTATAGCACAATTTACAGGACCGCGTAAAAATTTGAAAAAAAAATTCCATCCTTATGAGTTATGAGCGGGAACATTAGATGACCTCATTTTTATATAACGATTTAAACGTCATGAACTAACTCTATTAATTTTTATATTATTTAAGATAATGGTGGCGTTATATTGCAATTTGCAAATATTATAGCAAAATTCTAAACATTGTACAGAATCGTAAAAAGACTCTAAAATTAGTTAGTTGGAAGGGCACTTTTTCTAGGAGTCCCTTGACTCTGGACTAGCCAACCAAAATTATTTGAGGGGTATGAAAAGCCAGTATAAATACAAATATTTCGTCTTAGGCCTTCTTTCTTTGCTTGAAAAGTGTCCATGCATGTGAACTGTTAGTTCGTTTGCCATATTAATGTTATGAAAAATATAATACACCAATACCAAAAAGTATAGATCAGTAAATTGAAGTGGCAATGTTTCGGCCTTGAACTTGAAGTATCGACAAGCTGTGAGGAAAATAGACTGACTCCAACTATACGGACGATGTTTATGCAGGAAGTCGGTCAATGCATCTGACCCAGAACTGTATTATGTGGCATTACTTTTGTGAAGCTCGGCAATAGACATAGTGCAATGATGATGAAGAGATTAAGAAGAATATAAAGGGTTTTGTGCGCGGTTAGGTAATGCACGAGATGGGCCCGCCGTACAGCGGCATGGAGCTAGCGAGCTTCGTGACGTGCTCGAAGGGCTGGGCGGCGGAGTGCGGTCTGCGCGCCGGCTGGGCGGAGCTGGTGCGGCTGCAGCGCGACGTGGCGGCCGCCTTCAGCACCGCCCGCGCCGTGCTGCAGTGCCCCACGGTGCTGGGCCAGTGCGCCGTCGACTGCACCGTGAGTACAATACGCTGCAGGTGTATGTGCTGCTGTGCTGCAGTGCCCGCCTTTAAAAATGACATAACTGTAAAATCTGTTGCAGGTAAAGCCTCCATCCCCCGGAGAGGCTTCGTACCCACAGTTCTGTGCAGAGAGGCGAGATATTCACCGCGTGCTGGCTGAAAGAGCTGCTACTGCTTACAACACCTTCAACTCGATACCCGGCTACTCGTGCAATCCCATTGATGTGAGTTGTTCACATGAACAGCCTTATTATTTTAAAATATAAAGCGTAATCACGGCCTATACAGGGTTATTTTGCAGTAACCGGCCAAATGTGCAGAAAAGGTTCAGAGTAAGTAAAATAGGCAAATGGTTGAAGAAAAATTAATTTAAAAAAAATCTCGAACATTCTATCCTTTTTAACTCGCTTATATCAGCTTGATATGTATCTATGTAACGGAATTTTGGAATGTGTTATTCATCCCCTTCAAAACGTTGGGTTGATTTCAAACTTCGCGCACTTATGAAGAACCGATGAAAATGCAATAATTTAAATAGTTTGTCCATAGAATAATTACCCAGTGAGTTTGTCCCATTGTGCTTGCCAGGGTCCTCAGGATTTACGAATAATTCATAAAACAACTACGATTCCTGCCAGTTCAATCTACTGTAAGCCGCATAAAAGAACTTCGTTTTAAAAAACACGCTTTTGTAGTTAACCGCATTAAAAAATAGAAAATAATTAATATTTTGAAAAAACTAAAAAAAAACTTGCATTTGTAGATAACCGAACTAAAAAGTAGAAAATAATTTTCAATTAGCTTAAAATGCGAAAATAATGACTAGTTTTACATGTGGTATAGCCATGCTGCATGTATATTAGTAGTATAGTTGTAGCACGAATGGGTCGGCTCGACCGGGGAAGGACCACGCTTTCTCCGAATACCAGCGTCAAATAGCAGCATCATGCTGCTGTGTTTCGTATGGTGAGTGTAGAGAACCGGAGACCCATTTTACTGGAAAAGAGGTATTCTATCTTAGTCCTCACGGGTGACAACGCATCTGCATTTTGATTCGCAAACAAGGATAGACGTAGATGTCTATGGGCCACAGCAACCACTTACTATCAGGTCCTGTCTGTCAGTCTATCTGTCTGTCTGTCTGTTTGTTCCGGCTAATATCGGAAACGGTTGGATCGATTTTGACGGAACTTTCACTGGCAGGTAGCTGATTTCATAAGGAGTAATTTAGGCTACTTTTATTTTAGAAAAAGAATTAGGGTTCCGGGCAAAAACATAAAACCCCTAATACGCGAGCGAAGTCGCGGCGAACAGCTAGTTTCAAATAAAAGTAGAAGTCTTATTTACTCGTATTTTCTAAAACTGCAATAACGGTATACCTATCATTATTTACATATTTGAAATTAATTTAAAATTTGGCTACTCTTTGAAAAATAACCCTGTACACATCCCACAGGCACACAGCGGGAGTGTGGTAAAATAATTAATCCACCACGATATTCCAGTAAGTGTTGACGAACTTAACATGTTCACGAAATATTGCATTCCTCACACATGCAGGTTTTTATTAAGATAAGGAGGGTAAGGATAGGATAACAAATGAGCACTCAGTCCACCTGATGGTAAAGAGGATGGTTTGGTCCATAGACACCGCGATCTATCCTCGATTAATAATCAAACTGCAAATGCGTTAGCACCCCTGAGGACTGAAATGGAATGCCGCGTTTCCAATAAAAAGGGTATCCGATTCTCTTTCGTATTCTGTAAGATCGTAGTCCATCCCCGGTCGCATTGTCCCATTCGTGCTACAACCATAATATAGTTCTAGTAAGTTGATGAAACATCTGTCTTTAAAAATTGCTTTAAAATGATAATACCCCACAGCCTACAATTTTAAAATAATTTAATATTTATTTTGATTTTTATAGGGATCGATGTTCGCTTTCCCACGTGTGAAAATACCAGAAAATGCTCAAAGAGCGGCGCTTGAACAAGAAATATCTCCGGACGAATTCTACTGCCTGAGGCTTCTTGAGGAGACCGGTAGGAATATTTATTTTTTTCTTGTCTGCAACGAAATTACTGAATAATTGTGTAACTGTGTAGTAGTGGTGTAAGAATATCCACTACCACGTACCGTCCCGTGAGTATCGTAAGAGGCGATACAGGGAAACTGAATCAAAATAACAAAAATAACTGCGGCTGCTTACCACCTGCTTGCCAAGCGTGCCAACTATGGCAAAATTCATGCAAAGAAAATGCAGGAGGTTGACACGTTCAGTAGTGGACTTTTATAGGATGTAATGGATGGATGATGGAGAGGTGGGGGAATATTTTGTGTGGAATACAGTAAAATCAAGATCTAACATCAGCATGCAAAAGTTCACTGGTAAACATGAGCCTCTAGACGACTGACATGTCACACACGCGGCCCGCTACGCATTTGCCTGCGGCCCGATACAATTTATGGACCAGCCTAATGATGCAGCCCGCGAGCGTATCGAAATATCAATGTATGGAGGCACCTCGTACAAGAGTGAGCAATTATTTTCCCCAATGAAAGGAAAGAAATCTCCCGCGAAACCGCAATTGACCAACGACGCACACTTTGTAGCAATTTATAATTTACGTCCACAAATAGGATTACCCCTCAAGTAGGTACCTTAGCTAAGGACAAAATATATGAAATGGAAAAAGATATCAATATATATTTTTATTATTTTACTATTAATCTATCTTTATATATAAAAATCAATTGCGGTCCGTTAGTCTCGTTAAAACTCAAAAACGCCTCGAACAATTTTGAAGAATTTTTTGTGAGTGTTTAAATTTAAATGGGTCGCTACATGGTTTAGATTCACATTAGGACCCAGTAGGTGGCTCTATTGTTGAAATCCAGAAATCACCCGTACAAAGATGGGACGAATCGCTATTACTATAATAAGAGTCTTACACGATGATTTCTGTACATTGAATTATACTGATACTATGGTATCTTGTATAGATAATCTGTAGATTAAAAAAAATTATTGGAAACGATGTCTGTCTGTCTGTCGTGATACACGCATATCACGCAAAAACATGTGAACGGTTTGCATTGGACTTTCACTTCAATATTACGTAGGGGTTGAACTGTTTGAAAAAATATATATCGTCACGTTATCTAATATTTATTTCATTCGGAACATCAACAGCTTTTACTTACATAAAAATTTTAATTTTTAAATTAATTTAGACTACACAAACTTTACTTCAAAACAAAATAGATCAGTTAAGATACAAACAAGGAGGAAAGATAACTGAATGTTTGTGGCACGCATAGAGTTGGGCCGAAAAACTCCTAGGCAAACATCTTGTTGATATTTGATGGTTTAGACCGAAATAATTTCAAGTTGCTTTTACCTAATGAGAGATTATTAGACCATTCCAAAGATTGGCCTAGACAGGCGGACAAACAGACAGACTGACAGGCAAAAATTTTATATTTAAAATTAGTTATCCATTTCTTAGAAGCTTGCAAATAACCCCCTGAGCATAAAATAAGTCAGTTATTTCCATCGTACATCATCATAAACCATCATGGCTGAGACCGCGGTCTGAAACCCCGCATTCTCAGACACATTTTTGACTCTCGCTTGAACAAGTACTTATTTGTAAAAATTATTGTTTTAGGTCCGGGCTTTTTCATTTTCTGCAGAGTATCAGAGAAACGTTTTTTAAAAGCTTCATTTTTTAATTGTTATTATAAAATCACAATTATAAAACCTTTCTTTTGCAGGTGTGTGCGTAGTGCCGGGCTCAGGATTTGGTCAAAAACCGGGCACTTTCCATTTTAGGACAACCATCTTGCATTCGAGGGAGGAATTCCAGCACATGATGGATTCCATTCGTCACTTCCACCTGCAGTTTCTGCGGCAGTACTCATGAACAATACGTTGGTATTGGTACATTAGTATCAAATACCGTGACTAAATATTCCTTTGACTGTATTGTTATTTATAATTCAAGAGGATATATACATAGTAGAGCCATGCCGCAGCTATTAGTAGTATAGTTGTAGCACGAATGGGTCGGCTCGACCGGGGTAGGACCACGCTCTCACAGAATACCAGCGTAAAATAGCAGCTTAACGCTCCTGTGTTTCGTATGGTGAGTGTAGAGAACCGGAGATTCCTTTTACTGGAAACGAGGCATTCCATCTTAGTTCTCACGGGTTACATCGCATCTGCATTTTGATTCGTAATCGAAGATAGATGTAGATGTCTATGGGCCACAGTAAACACTTACCATCAGGTGGACTGTGTTCTCGTTTATAACCCTTAGCCTATAAAAAAAATATTCTAGCGACGTATAGTCTCTGTCTTTACTCAACGTATGTCTCTGTTCATTATATTCACTTGATGATGACATTAGAGCAAATATTTTACAATACAATCTATATATGTATATGTTCCTATGTTATCTTTTTTTAAACTTAAAGTTAAAAGTTAAAATTACTGCCTTTATACGTCTCACTGCTGGGCACAGGCCTCCTCTAATTTCTGAGAGGTTTTTAGGAAAATAAAATGTCCGCCGCGCTGCCCCAATTCGTGCTGGCTAACTTCACATGTCTTGGAAATATTATTTCTTTCTTATATGTCAGACATGCAGGTTTCCTCACGATATTTTCTTCACCGCTAAACCACGGCTTCTTTTTTTAAACTAATTATTTTAAAACCTATGCGTTTCTATACCGTTCATTCGATTACGACGAAACTTTGTTGAGATAAAGAAAGGCTTTCCAACACATGTAATATTTAGAATTTTGTAGACGGTTAAATTCGTGCTAATATTTAAGTTAAATATAAATATTTAGGATTACACAACAAAAAAAGTTATGATTATAGTTATTACTTACTTTGTAAATATTATACTAGAATAAAGCCGTAAAACTAAAAACAAATTCTTTCATTAAATTCCCTAAAGAGTCAGTTCAGGACATGGGATTTGGATGTACGACTTGAAGAATAAATAAGCTTAAGAAACTACTTTTTACTCTCTCTTTTTACTTTCCGCAGTACGGAATTTCTAAATACCTAATATATTTATAGCGAATTCGTTTGTAAATTTCCATTTTCTGATCCATATCCGTCGTTTGGGCTCGATGACAGTGCTACAATACAAACATTCGTGTTATGATTAAGATACAAATTAAAAACAAGTAGTCTTATTATAAAGTTATGCAACAAATTTTCTTTTAAATAAACCAACAGCCTACATACAATGGGGAATATGGACAAATTACGACGTAATGTATAAGAGTTGGCGAATCCTCGAAAAAGACTTTGTCGAGATGTGAATTTAAAAAGACTACTAAATAAGAAAAAACAGCATTTATTTATTTATTTATTCTTTATGATATTACTTATAAGAAATAACAACAGAATATAAAGGGTTAACTAAATAACATGAGCATTCTCTACTAGTCTACTCATATATAGAATAAAAAACGAAATAAAAACGATAATTAAATACATAATACATTTTACTAAAAAAAAACTTTATATATATATATGAATGCCACAAAGCACGGTCCTGAGCCACCTGCGTCCATCGACTTCCTGCATGTCTTACCAGGTCGTCACTCCATCTCGTGGGGGGACGCCCTACACTTCGCCTACCGGTACGAGGCTGCCACTCGAGAAACTTTCTTCCCCATCGGTTGTCGCTTCTTCGAGCTATATGGCCGGCCCACTGCCACTTCATCTTACTAATCCGTTGGGCAATGTCGGTTACTCTGGTTCTACTGCGGATATCCTCATTCCTAAGTTTATCACGCAGAGAAACTCCGAGCATAGCCCTCTCCATAGCTCGCTGAGCGACCTTGAGCTTCCTCATACGGCCAGCAGTGAAGGACCACGTCTCAGTTCCGTAAGTCATCACTGGCAACAAGGACTGGTTGTACAATTACGTTTTCAGGTTTTGAGGTATGTCTGACGAGAAGATGTGTCGTAGCTTCCCGAACGCTGCCCAGCCGAGTTGAATCCGTCGATTGACCTCTCGGTCGAAGTTGGACTTACCTAGTCGGACTATTTGTCCCAGGTAAACATACTCGTCAACAACTTCGAGCTTAGTGCTCCCAACAACTACCGGAATAGGTGTGACATGGACATTAAACATGATCTTTGTTTTGTCCATGTTCATCTTAAGACCTATCCGTTGGGAAACACTATCGAGGTCATTGAGCATAGTGCTTAGGTAAATATTCTAATAACGACAATGCGCCGTTTATTGTTCATGTAAGAGAGTAGATGATTTATCAACTGGAGTAGTTTTATAAAGTAATATAAATAAAGTTTGGTCATTTTCTCTGCCATAATAATATTAAAAATGTTGTTAGTGATGGTGTTAAGCGAATAGGACGCAATAGAATTTCTGTCGAGTTAAAAAGTGCAGCGAGGTCATTGAGCATAGTGCTTAGGTCCTCCAGCGATTCTGCCATAACGACTATATCGTCGGCAAATCGAAGGTGAGTGATGTACTCGCCATTGATGTTGATACCGTATCCTTTCCAGTCCAGAAGCTTGAAAACGTCTTCCAATACAGCGGTGAAGAGTTTCGGGGATATGACGTCACCCTGTTTTACACCTCTCTGCAATTGGATAGGTTTCGTACTCTGATTCTGTACTCGGATAGCCATCGTAGCCCTACTGTACAAGCACTTCAACACTTCGATATACCGACAGTCAACTTGGCACCGCTGAAGGGACTGCAGCACCGCCCAAATTTCGACGGAATCAAAGGCTTTCTCATAGTCCACATACGCCAGACATAGTGGCAAATTGTACTCTTCGGACTTCTGTACAATTTGCCTAAGGGTACGTATGTGGTCTATGGTGCTAATAACGACAATGCGCCGTTTATTGTTCATGAAAGTAGGAGAGTAGATGATTTATTAACTGGTGTTACGGCCAACGGCTGCTCCCTTTAAAGGATCAGATCCTCAGGGGCCCATGAGCTGACGTCCTCCCGAGCAGACGTAGGTCGGGCTCAATGTGCCACGTGGAATCTCTCTAATTACACTAAATATATGGGGGAGCGTTATACTACGGCCAGTCGACCGGAAGGAATTTGGCGGAGTTCACTTACCTCTATCCAAGGCGACTGGTCCCTCCGGAGTCGGTCAGGTCGCATGTGGTTGTGTAGTGCAAGGGAAAGAATGGTGATGTGGTGTGTATCTGGGTGTGACTGATGGTGATTGAACCTAGACCTTAGCCATCGGCAGCAGCCCGAGCGTCGACACCGCTCCAACTTGAGGGGGCCTTTCGAGGTTATCCACAGTCACTTTCTTGGTTCACCACGATGACAGTCACTTAACTCTATCGTACTATTAACTAGCTTACAGAAGCCACTAACTATCGCGGGGTATAAGGTTACCGCACAAAACACGCCCGGAGTTTCTGGGTCAAAGGTCACTACCGTTTCGCGTGGCAACAGATAGTTCTAAATACAGAGGCCGCACTAGCTTATATTGTCGAATGCACTTATACAGATTCTGAGTCGGACCCAATAAGTCCCGGGAAAGGCTATCCAAACAGGGAATGCGCGTTATAATTCCTAGACAGGATATTTACTAGACGCCCTAACTATTCCGCGGTTCCCGCACAAAATTAACAGCGTGCAAACATTAGCACATCTGGCAGATGACTGACTGCCCTTGGGCGTTTTACGCACGACCAAATGTCAAACCGGTATGACACTGAGCCGCACTCTCGCGTTCGTTCCTTGAAAGTGTTTGGCGCGAACAAACCCCCGTCCCGGACATAAGGATTTAGGTCCGCGAGCAAACCGGTCAGCGGGACAAGGTCGCGAAGGCAAGTTGCAAGACAGAATCTACAACCAAACTAGGCCACCTTAGGCACCCCATCAGATCTTGCAACCCTAACCAGCGCCTCAAAAAATAGCACTAATGTGGCAAGTCGGAGGGTCAGCCTCCACTGGATGCCCCTCCTGGGCATCGCAGCACTTTAACAAGTCCGGTACTGGACAGAAGTCCGACGACCTCTTTCAAAACCTATCTGTGCCCCTACGATTAGTTCCGCAATCCGACCGGATCAGGTCTGCAAACAGCGACGCGACACGAAGCGGCCCCGAGCGGCCTCCTAAGCTTCAGTGCAGAGAGCACCCACAAATTCCACATGAACGTCGTCTGTGGAGAGCCGAACGAAACGCACAGATAGTCCCTAGTATGAATTTTCAACAAGTAGGCCTAGCCAGGCCACCCACCATATTATCATTTACTAAAATAGTGCGGCAGCTGATTTCAATTTGATAATCTCCAAAACTAGCTAGCCTGTTAGACAAGTAGTCCTATGCTCATATTTCAACTAATTTTTTCAAAAGCATCAATGTTCAACTACAGAATTAATTCAACCAAATTAATCACCGATGCGCATAGGTCAACTTGCAAATTAAACAAAACAATAACGTAAGGGACAGCCCTACTTCTTCGCAAAGCAAAATGATCAAACACTATCTATGTATATGTTACATAATTTTTCAAATAGCGCGCCATTCAATTTCAGATGAATTCAAATTTTCCTTTCAGCAAACAGACACAACAATCAAATACAGTGATTAAATATATGTACAAAACACATGCAGTAGCATTTAAAAGAGTAGATTAAATTCAATTCTTTTAATTTAAACCGCTACAAATAGGAAAAATTCGCGGAAAGCTCAAAGCATTTTTTAATTTTAATTCAAAGTATTTTTTAACTAAGTGCTCGACCAAACCAAATCTAATACCCCTTGACAGCGTGATTCAACGCTCCAGGGGGGCCCTAATCTTCCCACCACCAAGGGGAGGCCACATGGCGTGAACCCGAGATAAATAGAGCACAACCTCTAACAGTTGCCACTCGGGTTGTACGCCTTCACTGAGGCCG